AAGGGAAAGGGAGCTAGAATGAGCATCAGTGTGAGGTACTTTTAATATACATTATCTCATACACCCTGTATGGAGAGGAACATGGAGCTCAGAGGGGCTAAGTCACTTGACCAACGCTACACAGCAAGCACTGGAGGTAGGACTGGAATTCAGACTTGAGCCCATTTCCTGTCTGCAATCGTTAGCATTCATGCATTCATGGGAATCCTCTATGGGATGCCTCAGGCCTAGTTTTAAAGATGAAGGAGAAAAAGGGAGGAAAAGAGGAACAATCTAATCAGCAGCAGGATGTGTAGGCTGAGGGGAAAATAGTTGAAAGGCAAAAAAGGCTTTCAAACCATGAGAATGACATGTCTCTGGGCCTTGGTTACTCTGATCCACAAAATAAGTGAGGCACAAGTTACAGAGCCCTGTAAAACAAATTTGTTTTTTTTGCAGCATATCATCATCTAGATAGGCTCTGAGCATGTCTTTTATGAGATCAGAAGTCATCAGGAAGATAACACAGGTCCCAACGCATATTACATGCAGGGCTATTTCTTCCTTGCTTGTAATGCTGTTAGAATAAAGCCCTGACGTCGGGTTGTCTTTGTATATGATGCATTAAAAAGGGCCAGCCCTCTTCCTATGCAGGTGTGGATCTATTTGGGAGACAGGTAGAGAAAAGCCCCTGATCTGTGGCTGAATTCATCTTCTACTCTTAGACAGCATCTGGTGACACTGACTTGTACAGTAGAGGCTAGAAAGTTATTTTAATAACACTGAATATCCTTGGAATTCAGCTACAGGCAGCTTCCCTTCTAAGCTACATTAGTCTGGTGATGCAGGCTTGGGAGGGTCGTGTTCCTTTTATTAGGCACCCTGGTGGAGGGATTCTGCAGTCCCCATGCCGTGTCTGGCTGTCTGCCAGCAGCGAGCGCTCCTGGGGGGTGTTTAAGGAACTAGGTTGCTATCTGCCAGACCCTGTGTGACTGGTGTTCTCTCTCATCCTAGTGGCTTCTGAGGCCTTTGAAGATGACAACTGCAGCAACTTTGTGTCTGAAGATGACTCGGAAACCCAGTCTGTGTCCAGCTTTAGTTCAGGACCGATGAGCCCATCGGACACAGCCGACCAATTCGCTGCAGCTGTGAGGCCCGGCAGCCTGGATCTGCCCAGCCCCGTGTCCCTGTCCGAGTTTGGGATGATGTTCCCGGTATTAGGCCCTCGCAGCGAATGCAGTGGGGCCTCTTCCCCTGAGTGTGAGGTGGAACGAGGTGAGTTGCAGCCCTCTCACCAGTAGTGCTTGTCCCAGACGAGTTACTCACTGCCTTTGCAGCCAGAGCTCTGCACTGTCNGGTTCTGAATCAGTCTCGAGTTTGAAAACCACAGTACTGGGACTCAATGGCTGCAATGTGGGACATCTGTATGAGTTTGACACCCATTGTTGCTTCACTGATGGGGTTTACTCTGCCAGTGGTAATTTCTGGAGAAGAGAGCTTGTCACCTGGATGGGAGTTGGGGGTGGCGGTGGCCGCTTTCATACTTGGTGCATGCATAGCTGTGTTAAGAGTCATCAGGTCCTTAGTCATGTCTTGGGAAAGTATTGGCGTGATGGGCAGAAAATGTGCTTAAACCTGTCGTTCAAAAGCATTGCAAGGCCAGTAGGGGCAGCCTTCATTTACTGAGCCTCCCGTTCTCCTTACTAGCAACTAAAGAAGACCGTGGACGACCTGCAGGCCAAACTGGCCCTGGCAAAAGGAGAGTACAAGACGGCCCTGAAGAACCTGGAGATGATCTCGGATGAGATCCATGAGCGGCGGCGCTCCAGCGCCATGGGGCCTCGGGGCTGTGGCGTTGGGGCTGAGGGCAGCAGCACGTCTGTGGAGGACCTGTCAGGGAGCAAACCTGAGCCAGATGCTGTTTCTGGTGAGTTGGGCTTGTGGGCAAAGCGGGGAGATGACACAGCTTGTGTGACCTTCTTCCAGGGCTGTCTTGCCATCACAGAAGGGCTTCGGGGTTGCGCAGGCCTGAGGGCGATTTCTGGTGGCCTCTCGCATTTTGTAGCATCATCAAGATGCTACCGCAGCTTCCTCCGCTGGGGTTCTCCGGTCAAATAAGCTTGGGAAATGTTATACGTTCACCTCTCTCTGATAGTCAGAGTGCACATTAGAACATTCACGGGTCTGAGAAGCACTGCGGGAAAGAAGAGGGGTCGAATAGGGGCTTTGGAATGCGATGACTCAAGTCCTGGCCTTCCCATCGTTACTAGCGCAGGAGGCAGGCAGGGGCGTAACTTTCTGTCTCCATTTCTTCACCTGAAAATGGGGAGAATGTAGAGTGGGTAGGAGGGAATGAAGTAACACTGGCACCCAGTAACCACTCCACAAATGGGTGCCTGGCCGGGGAACTGTTT